GGTATTTTAGTAAATGATTTTTATACAAGGCTTAGAGGAAGTGTTATGGCCTGAGAAAATTCATAGATACTCTCTAGAATGAAGGGTAATTTATGGAGTAGACAGAAGAATTTTCTGAACCCTGGAAGGCCATAAAAAAAAGTCAGAAAAATGTGGGTCAAGTAAAATAGGAGAAAACTTAAGGGCTATGTTTAGATCCGACGGTTATGATCTAATCTTCCTTCTCCTCCACCATTTTTACGACACATGGCCTCTTCTAGAAGCATGATGCAAGGATGATATAATAAGGTGATGCAATGATGATGCAAAAGTCCACTTGAACTTCCAAAATTGCCCTTACTCCTTCTTCTAGCTACCAAGGGCATTTTGGTCCATTCAAGCCAACTTTTTGGCTATAAATAGGCACTCTTCTTCCCCCCAATTCGGCCAAGCTGATGAACACGAGGAGAAACTCTATTTCCCTTGCATCTAGAGAGAGAAAGAGCTATTTCTAGTGAGAGAAAGTCCACCTAAGTTCAAGCTTCAAGATCAAGGTATGTGGTGGCTATAGCATCTGATTTGATACCTATTTCGAATTAGTTACTGTGTATATCTGATTCTAAAATTTTGCATGCTTAAAGTAAACTCTGTAAGCTTTAAATCCATGGGTAGAAAAATTCATTTGGATATGTGTACGATTTATGGTGATTTTTCAAAGTTAGGGTTTGAAATCTGGAAACAGTGTTGAACTTTTGGAAGAGTTTCGAGTTCTGTACAATTCCAGTACTGTTCGGCGTAGAATTGGTTCCTAAAACTATTTTTCATTTAAATTTAACTTAAGGAGACTTGGAAGCACTCAATTTGGATTTTTCTAGATTTAATTATAAATTTTCAAAGTTGAGCAAAAATTCTGGAGTTTCTACGTGAACAGTACCCGTGAACCAAAATTTTCAGATTTGGTATTCTTGAATCTAAGGCCATCTAAAGTGGTCCTAATTGACAAGAAATAGATCTTAAGAATGGGAAATGATAAGATTTATACTAGAAAAGTTAGAAAGAAAACCCTAAGACTAAGAGAAAGGGTTGAGGTTCAAGAAAGCTAGTCTTGAACTTTATGTAATCTAATGGTCCTAATGGATTGTGTGATCATTATGGTTATGTTTAGGACCTTTGGAACATCCAAGAGGATATTTGGTGATATTGACCGAATGCCCACATGGTTGGAAAGTCAAGAGAGTCAAAGGAAAAGTAAGAGGAAAGCTTGAGGTGCAAGGTAGTGAACTTACCCTTTATGTGCTTGACATGGTATGCTCATGTGTTGGTTTGTATTTGTTGTTTGAATGATGTTGTGACATGATGATTGTTGCTGGAAATACTATTTTTAATATGTTCCCATGGCCATGCATTTTTATACCAAGCATAAAGCATGATGGCATGTCACTAGTTAACTTAAGTTTATGAAAAACTACATACCATACACTAGCATCCATCTTGTATATGTGTATGGTAATGTTTGCTACTGAGATTCCCCCGAATCTCGCCTCTTCGTAACCAACCATTTAGGTCAATCAATGATGGGCACTAATGGCATGAGAAGCAAGGAGAAGAAGTGGAGAATTATTGATGCTAATGATTGATACTAATATTCAATGTATAATTCTCCTATGTTATGATTATGTTGTGAATGCCATGTATTTAATTATAAAGCTTATGGCATGTATAGGAATGTATGAGCATGAATGAGAAAAAGTAAGTCCATGTTAGGTATGCCAAAGAAATAAAAAGAATTAAAGTAAAGAGATGTTAAGGGATAAAACGTAGGTCATGGAGTAGTTAGTTTTGAGCTTCAGTTTGACCTATCATATGAATGAGTTAAGTTACGAAATTTGGTATACTTATATTGCATATCCCAAGCTTTAAAACGAGTGGTGAATCACCTCATTTGGATGTGTATACGAAGAGATATGAATTTTCAAAGTTAAGGCGGAGAATCTGAAAAGTCCAGATTTTACCAAACGAATAGTAATCTTAATCCAATAAACTGTACGTTTTAAGTGAGGGTGAGTTCATTTGAATATTTTTCCCTTAAAGAGCATTGAAAGATCTTTCTGTAGAATTTTGGAACACCTCCATACGATTTTTCTAGAATTAGTTATGATTTTTCAAAGTTGGACCTGTAATCTGAAAATTGGACAGTGAACAGTAATTTTCCGAAAATTAACATTCAAATTGAAATTTTTAGGTGTAAAACCATCCAACATGGTCTGGAATGGTTCTAAATGAATGCTAAGGTACTATATAAGTAAGGTGTGACATTTACTAAATACTGATTTCACATTAAATTTTTTAGTAAAACTACCTATATTGTTATTCTCCCTGATAAAACATCAATGTTTAGTTCCAAAGAACTGTGAAAGGTGCATCCACAATTATTGTCATTAAAATAATTAAATTACAAAGGTAGAAAACAAAAAGGTTGAGTTTCAGTTTCAGGATAACGTATATTGCATAAATGAGATGTTAAGAAATTCTATGAATAATTTGTTTGTGAAACTCCATTTGCATCTTTCCCTATACCGTTTATAGTGCCCCTCCACTATCAGTTTCATAGTATTAAGTATCAATTGGATAGTCATTTAGTTGCCTAACCCGACCCATTTTGACATTACCGGGTATTACAAGATTTCATAGTTAAACTAGATAGATAGATAGATAGATAGATACTCATGGTTCAATTCTCTTGACAACATTTGAACCTAGCTAGTGGCTTATTCAATTCATTCGAAGACATAAGATGTAAGAGCTCGGCACATAATTATCTTTTTATTATTATAGCCCTCTCTTTTAAAAGAATGCATGATCATAACCAAAAGATAAAGAGAATTTAATTTGAGTTGTTTACAATAGCTCAAAACATGTTAATAATTAACGCAAGAAACAATTAATCCGCAGGTCCTTATAGTCTATCTCAATCAACGGTTTTCAAACTCAAAGATAGATGCCCATAACGGATCAAACTATTGAAGGCCCGGTTTAAACAAAATAAACTACATGGATCTGATTCAAAGTTAAGGCAAATTATAACTAAGAAAAAGTATATAATTAAACCACAAATTAATCAAGAAACATACCGATAAAGTCAGCCATATTTCTTCCATTGGTGAAACGACCCCTTATATTATGAAAATCAATTCCATAAGGCCACCTATTAGCCTGTGCTGGTGTGTTCAAATGCATGTTGTTTCCAGGATCAAGATAGGAATCACCGAACACGTACAATGCTGGCACAGAGGCATTGGCAAGCAAAGCTTGGTTTGAAACGAAGCAGAAAGACAGAAACAACATCAGCTTTATTGAATTTTTCATATCTTTCTGCTTCGAATATGGGAGCTCTTTAATTAATCAATCACCAGTGGAATTGATGAATGGAGTATCATAAGTATATATAGAGAGAGGGGTATGAATATTTTTGGCAAAGGAAGCCAAAAATAGATAAAGAGAGTTGAATTGGTAAACGTCGTATTTGTGATAGATAATAATAACGCATTTTGAAAGTTTTGGGAATTTGTTTTGAGGAAATGGATAATTTGTTAGCCTCATATAAAATAGCAAAACGAACTGAATGTTAATATTAGTCATGGGATCTGGTATTATAACAAGCCTAGATTTTGTTTGAATATAGGGAAATTCACCATGATGATAGCACAGTAATTATTATTATTTTTAACTAGAGCACAGTAATTAATTACATAGGATCTATTATTACCGCATGAGAATAGGAGATAGGTGTGAAAGGAACTGATTTAGAGTGCTCATCTTTAGGATGAGCATCCAAAGCTCATCCTATCGAGACCGTTCAAATTTGAAGAGTCCAGATGAGATTTTTTAGTTAATTGTGTCTGAATAAATAAAATTATTTTTTAATAAAGTGATGTTAAGAGATTATTTTTATTTTAGATTCCATACCCAAAAAATAATTATTTTAAAAAATAAAAATAGAAAAAGATTAAATCTAACGGTTCCTGGGAGGGGGGGGGGGAGAGAATTAATGGTTGACGAAGGAGAAAAATTAATGGTTAAATATAGCCATCTCCTCCTCTGCCGTTTTGAGTGGCCAATGATCTAGTCTTGATTTGTCTTCTGAAGCCTTATAAATTGTTTAACTTATCCAAACAACTCTTTTCTAACTTTATTATCATCTATAAAAAAACATGAAATTGTTCAATATCTAATGGAGTAAATACCCCTTTTTTGGGAAATACCACAATAGCAAGCATAGAAATTTTGGGTGACATTAGTGAAAAGTCATTAGTTTTCTACATGTCACCCATATAGTTCAACTCATGAGCTAACTCAGAGATTGTTCGAGCAGATGAACCATCTTCACCAAGTGCTTTAGTAGCAGCATCCTGAAACACTTGAACTCTTCTACAAATTTCATTGCCTTCCTGATCATCAACTTCACAACCCTTGCAACTTCTTCTTTCACCATAATCCCATTCTTATTCTCATCAACTTTCGGCCACACGGCAACCTTAGGCTTCTCAATTAGCAACACTGCATTCATTCTCTGCTATGCAAATAAGGGCCAAACAATCATTGGCTTGTCACAGACCACACTCTCAAATGTGGAGTTCCAACCACAATGAGTCAAAAACCCACCAGTAGAGTTGTGTCTCAAAATTTCGATTTGCGGGGCCCATGATGGGACCACAAAACCTTGGCCTGTGGTTCTTTGGATAGACCCTTTTGGCATATAGTCAAAAGGGTTCTCATTTTGTGAATTCAAATAAGTTGAACTATTAGACCCACTTGGAGCCCTCACAACCCATACGAACTTATGACAACTCATTTCCAACCCCAAGGTTAGCTTGTGAAGCTGGTCAAATGTTAGTGTTCCTCCACTCCCAAGAGAGACATACAAAACAGAGTTCTTTGGCTGATTGTCTAACCATTTTAAACACTCTGAGATTGACTCGTTTACGTTAGTTGACTCGGTCTTCAAAGTGGGCCCCACTGGATAAATGGGAGGGTATTTATGATTACTTTATTGTAGTGATGTTATTGCCTCTCGTTCAAGATCTAGGAAGCTATTCACTATCATACCATCTGCTAACTACAATCGCTTACATATGTAAAGAATTGTTTTGTAGGATTCACTGGATCTTTCGTGAATGGTATCGAATAGATCTTTGCCATGTACTACGCAACCTGCATGAAGCAATTATATCTCTTCAACATTCATTTTACAATATTCTCCATTTACCCAACAAATTCAAAAGAACCAAAGAGGCAAAAGAAAAAAAGAAACAAGAAGAAGAAGAAGAAGATTGGTAACCTGGAAGTTTCAAAGATTGTGATAAGTCTCGAAATCCAGTAGAAACCAGCTCATGATCCTCATCAAGTTCGGGAAACTTGAGGCAGAAACCGAGGGAAGTGATAGACATGGGAAAGCAAACGTATGACTTGAGGTGGAACTGCTTTGCAATTTCTAACGCATCCACTGAGAATACATCGGCAACGATAGCAACAAGCAGAGTAAGGAAACTCAACGAGCTCAAAACTAGACGAAGTGATGGAAGAGAGTTTTACAGTCTGATGCATTTTTGTCGCAGGGTGGAGGGCGTTTCGAGGGATGTCGTTTTGGTCGACATGTTGAAGAATAGTGAAGTCTATGTGCGGTGGAAGAGATTGGAGGATAGATGACAAACTCAATTGGTCCCTTTTTGCCTTAATTAATTTATTTTGTTTTATTTTGAATTATTATTTTATAGGGGCAAAATTGTCATATTTTGATTTAATTATGATTAATTGATTTTTAAGGACAATTAATGCTACCTTATTCTTGAATTTTGCTTGCAGGTTCTTGGAAGATTCAAAAATAAATAAAAAAAGAAAAAAAGAAAAAAAAGAAAAAGAATTAAATTAAAAGAAAAGAAAAATAAATAATAATAAGCTGGGGCAAAACGTTGCGTTTTGCCCCAGCCTAATAATCATCATCAGCTGGAAACGAAGACGCCGAACACACGCACGCAAGAGAGGCCGAAGGAGACAGAACGAAAAACAGAGCAGGCGGCCGAACGAGAACGGGAGAGAACGAACCAGGAGGAGAGACGCAAGCGAGCTGGCTGGCGGTGCGGAGATACACGAGCTGAGAGCACGCCGAATGGAGAGAGCTGATACACGCAGACAGCGGCTGAACCAGGCGGAGACCGAAGCACGAACGGGAGAAGACGCTGGGCGGTGGCTGAGAAGAAAAAAAACAGAGCAACACGGAGGGAGGACTATCCATCATCTTCTTCTCCTTCTCCACAGCAGGGGACGCAATGGCAAACCGTAACAGAGCTCTGATTATGGCACTTTTGATGGCAAACCGTGGCTAGCTTCACAATTCTCTAATTCAACAATAATGGCAGGAGCTTACATCATCAAAGGGGAGTTTAGTTACTTTAATTTCCTGTCTAATAATTGTTTAACAATTCCTAGGTCTTAGGATAGTTATTCTGATTATTAGAAAATCTTGTATTGCTTAATCTGATTATATTTGGAGATTATTGTGACTGAATTATTGCTTAGTATTTGACATTGGGCTGTTTATAGTTTTGATTTCAATTATAATGTTGTGGTTATGACATTTATATTGATTTTGGAATTAATATATTGTGATTTTCTAAGGTGGCTTGGAATTTTGGATCATATAGTCTCTTGCTAGCTTTAATTCTATTATTTTGGATTTAAGAGTTCTAATTAAGCATTGGTTTTAAGCATCCTTAATCCCATTTTACTATTCTGGTTGCAGTTAGTAAGTTGGGATTTTAAGAAAATATTTTGTGGCAACTCGAGGTGGCTCGGTTGTTGGATCAAAAGCTTAGTTATAATTCTTAATTCATTGTTTTTAACTCCCACATCTTTTAGAGTGATGATTGCCTGCGTTGTTGAATTGGAGGATTGATTTTTATCAGTGTTATTTGTGTGTCTCATTTTCATTTCTTTAATTTCCATTCATTTTAATCACTTTTATATAAAAACAAAAAAAAATATTTTAATTTCAATTTGATTCGTAGTATTTAATTAACAGCTTTTCAAAATCAAAAATCTCTTTTTATAGTTTAGGTTACTTGCATTTATTTACTAGGGTTTAATTTCGTTTTCGGCTCCTCAAAGTGAAACGACCCGAGTTTTGCACTATATTGCATTAATTCGGTTAATTTTTGGAGTAACCCCAAAGCGACAATTAAGGGCAGTTGAACTTCAATAGAAAGTGCAGATGGGGAGGGAGGACCAGGTGTGGGGATGAGGAAAGTGAAGTGGAAGGAAGGGAGGTGAACGACGAGTCGTTGTGCAAACTCAATGAGGGGTACTAGATGACTAAACCCTGGACATGGAACCATGACGATGCAAGGATTTCTTTTCTCCATGAAAAGTTGACGGTTCGGTAGCTTGATGGGTACTTGGGAAGGAAACAAACGAAAGAAGAAGAAAAAGTGAAAGTATGAAAATACTTCATTGCTATATATACATATACATATATATATATTTATGTAAATAATAATCTAACACGTGTGCCACGATATCTGCAAGTCTATCTAACAGTCATGGCTTATCTGACAAACTTACAATATATGAAGCTTATTAGCTGAAAATAGTTAATATAAGCAGCTCACTTCAAAGAAAGAGAATACACACTGGAATCATACAAAATGAGAGGGGGGGCGGGGGGAATAGCGGTCAAATCATTAAATTAAATCAGTTTTTAATGTCGGCTTCGTCCGTTGCACGAAGCCATAAATGCCGTAGATGCATACATAGATTAACGCGCTCTTTTGATTAACGCGCTCCCTCTTGTACTTATTATAGAAGTCAGAAATTCGTAATCATTTTTATAAAACCTTTTAATAGCGTGAATGAGTATTAAATAATTTTTTTGATATATGCTCATAGTTAACGAGGGTACAGCGGAGAATAAAAATTAATCTAGTATAATTAATGAAAGTAATATTAGAAATCACTTAGACATATTTAATATTTTTAACTAGTTTTATTAGTATATGTGAATTAATTAATTAATTCTTATAAAAAGAACTAGAGAGAGGACCACCTTACTCCCATAGATATAACTCATTTGTATCCCATTCTCGTTAAGAATGCATTAAGTTGATAAAATTTCACACACTAAGCCTCTATTAAACAAAAATGGTGCTGAAAAAAATACGCCGTACATTTTCTCTAACCTATTTTCTTTGTTGTATTCAATAGGGATGAATTTGGAAAAAAAATTATTAATTAAGTACCCTATAAGTGACTTATATTTAGAAAAAATTTTTTTTTTCCTAAAATGGCTTGTATATAGGAACAAATTTAGTGGTATGTAAAACATTTGTACCCCATTTTCCCGCACGACACAATGTATTAAATTGATAAAAATTTTCACATTGTCCCTATTAAAGATAGGGTATAAAATATATGATGTACATTTTCTCCCACCTATTTTCTGTATTGTATTAAAAAAAGGTGAAATTGGAAAAAAGGTGATTGATTACCTACAAAATAACTTATTTAGGAATAAACATTTCTCCTATGCGTAACTTACACATAGTAATAGAGTGGCAGATATAGATGCATACTAGTCAGTTTGAGCTTAATTGTTAATGATTTTTTAATTAGTAAATTCCATGTAATCTTTTGGGGCCTTATGTATAATTTTTTTATTCACTAAGGGGGGAAAAAACTGAAGCCGACCATTTCTCTTAAAAATAGTATAGAAGTAGAAATCCAACTTAACTCTAAACATTTTTCACATATGTGAATATTTTTTTCAGGAGAGATTTGTGAAAATATTGAAGTATATATGAAAAAAATTGTTTAAGAATTATAATTTTAAAATTTTTATGTATATTATAATTTAAAATTTAAAAGTGATACATAATTTAAAAATAAAATTTGAAAATTGAAAATTTCAAATATAACTTTGTTTAATTTTGTGGTGAATTTATTAAATGTCATACACAGACACACACGCATTAAAGTATAATTTTTAATTATAGATCTCTTTAACATCTAAACAATGGATCTCTTTAATTTGAAATTCTCAAATGCTTGAATTTCCTCAAGCATATGTCCTTGGATGAAGAAAAATGAAATACTGTTGGCACGCGTACAGTTTATGACAACCTCTGTTTGAATTTGATAGGATGAAAAATACACTTGCGCGTACTACATGTGTTTGAATAAGACGACAATCCATGAAAAACATTTATAATCAAACTGATTTATGTTTAGAATATTGCAAATTTGATAGAGCACACTCTCTAATGTGGAGTTCCAACTACAATGAGTCAAAAACCCACCGGTAGAGCAGTGTCTCAAAATTTTGGCATATGGTCAAGAGGGTTCTCGTTTTGTGAATTTAAATAAGCCGAACTAGTAGACCCGCTTGGAGCCCTCACAACCCACAAAAACTTGTGGCCACTCATTTCTAACCCGAAGGCTAGCTCGGGAAGCTGGTCATGTGTTAGTGTTCCTCCACTCCCAAAAGAGACATGCAAAACAGAGTTCTTCTGCTGATTGTCTAACCATTTTAAACACTTTGAGGTTGACTCGTTTATGGTAATTGACTCGGTCTTCCAAATGGGCCCCACTGGATAAATGGGAGGTTATTTATGATTACTTTCTTGTAGTGATGTTATTGCCCCTTGTTCCAGATCTAGGAAGCTATTCACTATCATACCATCTGCTAAATGCAATCGCTTACATATATAAAGAGCTGTTTTGTAGGATTCACTTGATCTTTCTTGAACTGTGTCGAACAGATCCTTGCCATTTAATGGTACGCAACCTGAATGAAGTAATTATTAGCTCTTTAACATTCATTTTACATTTTTCATTTACCCAACCAGTTCACAGAACTAAAGTTCACAAGAATCAAAGAGGCAAAAGGAAAAAAAGAAATTAAACAAGAACAAGAAGATTGGTAACCTGGAAGTTTCAAAGGTTGTGATAACTCTCGAAATCCAGCAGAAACCATCTCTTGATCCTCATCAAGTTCGGGAAACTTGATGCAGAAACACAAGGAAGTAACAGACATGGGAAAGTAAACGTATGATTTGAGGTTGAACTGCTTTGCAATCTCTAAGGCATCCACTGAGAATACATTGGCAATGAGAGCAACAAGCTGAGCCTGGAAACTCAATGAGCTCAAAGCTTGACGAAGTGACAGAAGAGCGAGTTTTACAGTCATGCATTTTTGTTGGTGGGTGCAGGGCGTTTCGAGGGATGTCGTTTTGGTCGACATGTTCAAGAATAGTGAAGTCTATGCGCGGTGGAAGAGATTGGAGGATGGAAAGTGCAGATGGGAGGGAGGACCGAGTGTGGGGACAAGGAAAGTGAAGTGGAAATGAGGGAGGTGAACAACGAGTCGCTTTGCAAACTCAGTCAGAGGTATTAAATGACTAAACCCTGGACATGGAACCATGATGATGCAAGGATTTCTTTTCTCCATGGAAATTGGACAGTTCGGTAGCTTGATAGGTACTTGGGAAGGAAACAAAAGAAAAAGTGAAAGTATGAAAATACTTCATTCCTATATATACGTATACATACATATATATATACACGTTTGTAAATCATAATCTAACACGTATCCCACGATACCTGCAAGTCTATCTAACTGTCATGGCATACCTCAAAATCAAACCCCTATCTGACAAACTTAATATATGAAGCTTATTAGCTGAAAATAGTTAATAAGCAGCTCACTTAAAAGAAATAATGTACACTGGAATCATACAAAATGAGGGTTAAAAAATAGCGGTCAAATCATTAAATTAAATCAGTTTTAATTTTAATGTCGGCTTCGTCGTTTGCTCGAAGTCTTAAATGCCGTAGATCTATCTATAGATACATAGGAATAGGTTATTGTGGTCTTTTAATTAACGCGCTCCCTCTTGTGCTTATTATAGAAGCCCTTCTAAAAGAAATTCTTGATCGTTTTTACAAAAGACTTTTTAATAGTTTGAACGAGTATTAAATATTTTTTTTTATATGCTTGTATTTAACATGGGTATAGTGGAGAATAAAAATTAATCTAATACAATTAATGAGAGTAATATTGAAAATTACTTAAATTTTATGACAAATTTAATACTTTTAATTAGTTTTGTTAGTATAAGTGAATTAATTTGCTGATTCTTATAATAAGGACTAGAGGGAGGACCACTCTACTCCCATAGACATAACTCATTAGTATCTCATTCTTGTTAATAACGCATTAAATTGATACAATTTTCACACACTTAGCCTCCATTAAAGAAAAATGGTGTTGAAAAAATGCGTTGTACATTTTCTCTAACCTATTTTCTTTATTGTATTTAATAGGACTGAATTTGAAAAAAGATCATTAATTACCCTACAAGTGACTTATATTTAGGAACAATTTTTTTCCTACAAATGACTTGTATATAGGAACAAATTTAGTGGTATGTAAGTCACTTGTACCCCATTCTCCCATACAATGGAATGTATTAAATTGATAAAATTTTCCACATTGTCCGCATTAAAGATAGGGTATAAAATATATGCTGTACATTTTCTCTCACATATTTTTTTTATTGTATTGAATAAAGGTGAAATTGGAAAAAAAAGTGATTAATTACCGAACAAATGACTTATTTAGGAATAAACATTTCTCCTACAAGTGACTTACACACAGAGTGGTAGATATAGATGCATACTAGTCAGTTTAAGTTTAATTGTTAATGATTTTTTTTAATTAGTCAACTATATGTAATCTTTTAAGGTCTTATGTATAATTTTTTATTCACTAATGGGGGAAAAAATTGAAGCTGACCATTTCGCTTAAAAATAATGTAGAAGTAGAAATCCAACTTAACTCTAAACATTTTTTAATATACGTGAATTTTTTTTTCAGGAGAGATATGTGAAAATATTGAAGTATATATGAAAAAAATTATTTAAGAATTATAATTTTAAAATTTTTATGTATATTATATAATTTAAAATTTAAAAGTGATTATACATAATTTAAAACTGGAAATTGAAAATTTCAAATATAACTTTGTTTAATTTTGTGCTGAATTTATTAAATGTCATACGTAGACATCCACACACATTAAAGTACAAGTTTTAATTATAGATCTCTTTAACATCTAAACAATGGATCTCTTTCATTTGAAATCCTCAAATGCTTGAATTTCCTCAAGCGTATTTTCTTGGATGAAGACAAATGAAATACTGTTGGCACGCGTACAGTTTATGACAAGCTCTGTTTGAATTTGATAGGATGAAAAATATACTTGAGCGTGGATGTTTGAATAAGATGAAAATCTACGAAAAACATTTATAATCAAACTGATTTATGTTTAAAATATTGCAAATTTGATAGATTCTTTATGCTAATCAACCAATGAGGGTACCATCTGTTACTCAGATTATTTTTAAATTTTTTAATGTTAATCTCTTTAATTTTACCTCGACTGTAATAGTGCTCAAACATGTGTTCTTTTGATTTTGAATGTATAATAAAGAAATTATGTGCTCATGCTTATGCGAAGGGTGCCTAGGGACCATACAAATATACACACACTACCCTCGATACTTAATATAATCGTTAGTTGGAGATTAGATCTAGTATTAAATATAATATCTCAATTTACTTCATTTTTCAAATTTATAATTCATTGTCTAAAGTATCATTATTAATTACACATTGAAATATGACCTGTCTTGCTTACACCTTGGGGTCAAATTCAAAATTAAAACCAAGGATTGTACTATAAACACAACTTCAGGTTGTTTCACTTGTTGGAGCCTTAATTATTGATCCTAAGTTAACTAAATGCCATGAAAATACAAAATTGACTAAGGAAAAGTTGGGGGTTTTCATTAAAACTATTAATTGAAATAGAATGCAATGTAAATATATTTTGGATTTTTGGGAAATTAGGATGGAATGGATGGGAAACAAGTGTTGAAACAGGTGATAGAACCTCTTGAAAATGGACCTTTGGCAATCATAGTTCAAAATGATTTTGGAAGTAAAAATCACCAAGTTTTCTAAAGGAAAAACCTTAAAGAACCTTTTAAATCTAGGATCTTAATCAATAGCCACTCATCTCATAAGATCCTATTAAGCTCACTTAGTGAGTGTATTAGGATTAATTAATGCACTTAGTTCAATGCAAGCCCAGATTAACTCAACAATCAAACAATACCATGAAAGAAAGAGGGTATCAAAAGAGTTGCATAGAAACATATATGTAACCACATATATTGAAGCTCAAATTCAACATTAACTAATCCAATACACAAGATAATCATTCAGAATTGATTACAACTATAATCAAAATAGTTCATCCCCAATTTACAAATCCTAAGACCTAGGAATTCATAAATAAATAACTAGAACTATGGATGAAGCTAACTCCCCTTTAAAGCTCTTGGAACTCATGCCAATTGAACCATCTTCAAGAGAGCAGACACTTAGCCACGTATTGGAACAAGAAGCACCACAACCAGTAGTAATTTCGGGCTACCCATGGTGGAAAATGAAGGAGAAATGGAAAAAGATGGAGATTTTGTGAAGGAGAGTGAAGAGGACGAGAGAAAATGAATGGGAGAGGTTGTGTATAAGTGAATGTAGCTAGGTTTTTGAAAAATGCCTTATTTTTCAGGTGTTCTGGCTGGGTCTAGGTTGGATTTTGAGTGGATAAACCATTCAGAGTCAGATCTTATAAGTAAAATGCACAGGTTCAAAAATGTGCCAGGCGCCACAGCGGATCCATTTAGTGCTGTGTTGTTCTTTATTCTTTGATCTTGGCTCCATTTTTCTTGTGTCATGCAATCAAAATTAGTCTAAATGAAGTATCAATTGTCCTAGAAATTAATTAATAATAATTAATCACTAATTATGACAATTTTGACCCAAAAGACATTACTCTATGCAAAGGCATCTAAACTATATTAGACACAAATATGCACAATTATGCTCATAATAACCCATAATAACCCATGAAATGATATAATACAATATATAATAAATGGGTTAGATCAACTCCCGCACACTTAAACCTTTTTACTCCTGGACAAAGACAAAGACAATAAAATCAAGAATGGTATTAAGACAAATGAGAATCCATCCATACATATTTCAAATGAACGGTCATAATCTCATTGATCAAATCTCTTAAGAAAGCAAAGTAGTGGTAAAGACAATGCAAAGAAATTAACATAGAATACAATTGAGATAATGTGGATGAGCAAAAGAGAGAGTTCTCAAAGGATTGAACTGCTTCACTCAACTTACCAAATTGGGGTTAATTTCTCTCAGATCCACTTAGTCAACATCTTACCATAGGCTTGTTGAACTTCTAAAATCTCCACTACACATGCTAAGATATAGTGAGTCAAGAGGGCTTTAAAGGGTGAAGTGATGGATAAAAGGCCTAAATGGGATGAACGTAGAATGAAATAAATGACAAAGCACCAAGCATTCAAAGATGATTTTCAAACTAATACTTACTTAATTTCTCTTCAATCATAAACTTTGATCTTCAAAACTACCAATGAATTGCCTTATTTCAAAATTTTATTCCTTGGTATCATTTTTATTTCTAGCCTTCTTCTTCTTCTTCTTCTTCTTCTTCTTCTTCTTCTTGGCTTTTCTCAACGTTTTCTTCTTTTTCTTTGCCCTTTTTTTATTTCTTTTCTCTCTCTTTTTTTTCCAATTAACTTTGGCAATTCTAAACCCATGTAGAAAAAAAAATATCAACATCACACATGTACTAGTAAGGTGTTGTTAGAAACTTAAATATACTATGCATGCTTGGAACTTTGAGAAAAGAAGAAGGCTCAAGTGGTTAGTAATGGATATTAATATTGTGGGTTTGTGTTTGGGATGTAGGGTAGTGAAAGGAATGCCTCTATCATGCTCACTCTAACAATGCATACAAAGCCTCAACTAAGAACCAGAACAAGTTCTGGAGGATAATCGAACTAAGTGGATGACTCTCTAAGAAAAGAAATTAAGGCTCAAATCAACCTTCCAACAAGGGTTAAAACTGTCACATCCCAAAAAATTTTATCTGGCAATAAAGGATCAAAACTTGGGATGAGGGTCAATGTAGGAACTAGATGAGGAGATGAAAAAACTTTTGATATGAAACCCCGATGAGGTCTGAACTGACATTTTCATAATCATCAGCCTAGGAAGGGTAACAAAAAAATTTGAGAAAAATTTCAGAAAATCCCTGAAAAATGGGAAAAGTATAGAGTAGAGGTTTTGGAAACTTGGTTGAGGCCTGAAAGGTGGAATTTTGGTAAAAATAAATTAT